AATAAAGCCTCGTGCTGTTTGCATCAAGTGACGTCTCTTGCGGTTGATTGGGGTCACCGTTGGTCTGCGGGACAGAGTGAGGGTCCCATTTCTGGGGTCTCACACAGGTACCTCAGAATGCAACTGTATTTGGTATAGGGCTTTTAAAGAGGTTATTAAGGTTGAATGAGGTAACTAAGGTGGGCCCTAATCTAATATGACTGGTGTCCTTATAAGAAGAAGAGCTTAGGATACAGACACACAAAGGGAAGCCACATGAAGGCACTGAGAGAGGATAACCATCTGCAAGCCAAGAGGAGAGGCCTCAGAAGAAACTAACCTGCCAACTTCTTGATCTCAGGCTTTTAGATTCCAGAAGTATGAGAAAATAAATCAGTTGCTTAAGCCACCCAATCTATGGTACTTTGTTATGATAATCCTAGCAAAGTAATACACCTCATTTGGTTCCCTTTTCTCAGGAATCACCGTTCTATGATATCTGTGTTCTAATGTGTTATAATTTGTCTGGTTTTCTAGTTATGTAGGTGGAAGGGTAAATCCAATCCCTATTTTATCATTATGTCCAGAAGCAGAAGTCAGTCACTCAGGAATATCTGCTCAAGTTCTAGCTGTGATCCAAGAAGAGGTGACTGTTCATAGAATCTCAGATTAGAGGGAAGTCTAGTGACGATGGTGGAAATGTGGGTGGAAGAGGAAAAGGGCTGGACCACTGTAGGAGGATACTCAGAGTTCAAGGGGCTTAAATACATAAGAGTTTATTATCTCTCCTGTAATACAAGGTAGGCATCCATGGCAGCCAGACGGGGCCAGAGCTCCCTCCTTCCCACTTTTCTGCTAGCTGTACGGCTTTCTTCTGTGTTTGAAGCCAGAGGTGGCTTCCTACACACCCATGCTCCAGCTTGCAGAAATGGAGGAAGTGCACGTGTTTTCCACCTAGTTTCCCTCATGGCCAGGCTGGCTGCAGGGCATCTTGGAAATGCATTTAGCGGAGCCATCATGTATTTAGATAACATTTCCGTTTCTGTGGAAGAAGGAGAGAATGGTAACAGTCCATGCCACACAGACAACACTCTTCTGCTTGGTAAGAGAGAAGACACTTTTTCGATGGGCTGCAGGAGTAAACTTACCTCCACAAAGCCCTGCTCGCCAGGTAGTATCCACAGTAACTGAGCTTCCCAGGATGTGGCAGAGAATTGTTTTGGGATGTTGCATCCCAACTTGTCTTATGGCTGAGAAACAGCTGTATAGAGAAATCCCTCGATGATGGTATCATGCCTGATCCTGAGTAAGAGGAGAGAGGAATGAGTAAACCTAAAAGATTTAGCCCAAAATTAAATTCTGAGATATTATGGAAACGTGATCTATGCTGAATATAAAATGCAGGCATTGAGTGTGATAGATGAACTATTGAACTTAGCTTTGTAATATTTCTGGATCATATTTTTCAGGCTAAACATCCTTACAATATCCTCCAGGAGTGTTGTTATGACCTCACACCACAACATTGCTGAGAGTTTATCATTTGTTACAAAATTGACAGATGACAGAAGTGTTCTGGTTGCCCAGGAGACATGAACAGAGCCAGGTGCACATGGGCTGCCTCTTCTATCCAGGGATTTGGAACTGTCCTACATGCCTGCTGGTGGTCTTAATACAGCATCCAGAAGGGTTCAGGAATATGGAGAAGGTCTGTGTGTAAATTAAATAAGAGCACAGAGACAAAACGTAATTTTGGAAGGCATTATGGGGAGTTAAGAAGACTTAGATAAAGGAAATAAGTTCTCATTGTCTCACGACTCCTAGTTCTTTATTAACACACTTTGTCCTAAAGCAAGGTAGATATACATATCAAAGGGTAGGGCTACTATACAGAATCCATTGTCAGATTGGGGAAAAACTGCCTTCAGGTGTTTGGCCAGTAGGAGGCAATAACATGTAGATTGAAATGCCCTCAGCTATCTGGCAGCAAACAGTCATTCTATGCATCCTTTTCAGGTTTGGGGAAATGCCCTCAGCCATTTCCAGATGATTCAGCCCTGACATGCTGGAACTGGCTTCCGGCACATGCCTTCCTCACAGGTTACAGAGGATGCCCATATGAGTGGGTTTCTGGGCCCTCACCCCTGTTTAAAGAACTCTTCTTTCATCTGATTTATATGTTAGGCTTCCAGCTAAGATTTCATTGGAACAAAAGGTCCTAGGGTTTTGAAAATATAAAGTATAAAGCAGCTCTTTTACAATTTGCTTGGTTGATGTAACTTGAATGTTTGTACGAATAGATAATTTCAAAGCCCGTAAGATAACCTGAAAGGACGTCCATCTCCTTTGCACACTCCTTCTCTTCAGCCTGGGGTCCCTCCCGATGGTCTGAAGCAGTCCCAGCTGCTGAGCCCAGAGGACACAGCTGTGGCACCACTAATCCTTCTGCAGGCTGCACAGCTGCATGTTCTTTGGTGGTTCCCACCTCTCCACCATGCCAGCCTCCTTAGGGGGCTTCCCATGGGCAGGTGGCCAGCATAGAGTGCAGTGGGACCCTCTACCTATACCACTTAGGCAGTTTTGCGTTTGCTGATGCCATGTCATCATTTTGGAGCAACCCCAGTCACTCTGCAAATCATCTTTGGTTAAGTGCAATAAACTGCTGAATTTCAAAATTTTATAATTGTCTCAATTATCCATGAATGAGTGAGATCATGTGGTATTTTTCCTTCATTGACTGGCTTATTTCACTCAGCATAATGCTCTCCATTCCATCCATGCCGTTGCAAATGGTAAGAGTTCCTTCCTTTTGAGAGCAGCATAGTATTCCATCGTGTAGATGTACCACAGTTTTCTAATCCATTCTGAAGTCTATCTATAAAGTTTTATAATTCTTTAGTTGGTGCATTAATCTCTTCCCTTGAGGTAGTATGACATCTGTTTTATCTACTTGTCCTACTAAGCTTTAGGTAACTGATAGATATGATATTTATGCCATGATGGCTTCTTCTAAATTATAGGCGAGGTCCTGTGGTATGCCACCATAAACCAAAGACGTCAGGTTGACAGTGATTTGACTTGGCCCCATAGACGATTCTGAAGCCTTTGGTTAAAATCTAGGTCCCTCAATGAAATAATTGAAAAAAAGTATAAATCAATCATGAACAGTTGAAAAGTCATTTCCAGACTGATTTACATTTATTAGGGCCATGATGCATATTTAAGAGGCACATTAAAAGGCTGGGTTCAGGTCAAGTATTGGGTTTGCCGTGATTTTAACAACTCAGTGTTGCAGGGTCTGCCCTCCTCCTTCCCTTCTAAGTGCTCAGCACCACACTGGCTAGAAGAGAGAAGCAGCCAGGACTGAGCCTTGTTGTGCCTGCATCTCTGCTCTTTGAAAGGGCTCATGAAAGGAGTTTTTAGGGGTAAAATAGGCAGGTTTAGAGAGTTTTAGGAATTAGGGGGCCTATGGGGCAAAACTGCAGAGCTGCGAAGCTGGGAGCTGCCAGAAGAGAAACATTCACAGAATAAGGGGTCTTGGAGCTGCCAAAGGGTGTAAGAATAAAGGGAGAGGAAGCCACACATTCACAGAATAAAGAGGAAGGCCACAAGGAGTAGAAAAAACAGAAGGAGAAAAAGAAGGGAAGCCCACTGAGGTTTGAGTTCTGAAGCTGCTATAGTGACCAATCAGAGGGGATATTCGAACACAAAGAACTGCTGCCTTTATAAACCTAAGAAAGAGGGACTTGGTGGGTCTCTCTCTCCTTCCCCATGTGGGAGGGTGTGCTTGTTTCCCAATAAATTTCCACCTTTTCCTTTTGTT